ACCGTATGAAAGGTGACAGATACTCCCGAGTACTTGTACCCCTTTGGGCTGATTGTGATCTTTCAAAGCTCGATTTCTTCACAGCGTAGAAAGAGTGGCAGTGCGGAAAATGGCCGCGTCGGAGACGTCTCGTCGAGAGCATTCCTGAAAACGTATCGTTTGATTTGTATGCGTATATCCTCTTCGTCGCTGGGTATCTGAGCTTTGAAAATCGGTCCAGGGAGTGTGGTACCTTGTGTCACCTACGGTGTTGTGTCAAGATGTCGGGAGCTCTCCTTAGAGATGGTGGGCTGTCTCTCTTGCTCTTCAACTTCACCACTCGTTGGCAAGTCCACGGACGACTCCGCAGCAGGTGTTAGACTCATCTCGTCAAGTACACGGCTAACCGCCACACTGCTGCCCACCAGCACCCCAGACACGGCTGTTGTTCCCTTTCTCGCCGAAGAACGAACGTCATAGACAGCTTGCTGTGAATGCCGTGTTGACCATGATCCTTCACCAGTCAACCAATCGCAGGAACTCGTAGATAATAGTAGCCACATCTGTCCCTCAACAGGTCCTCGGGAGACAGAGACATTAAATCATTTCACCGGCTAGCAATCCAAGTGCACAGGGTTGCAGTACGAATGCACGTCAGCGCCCGCAGACGAGTCTGGTCGTGCTGCGCCGGTACTTGTTGTTGTCTTCCATGCTTCTGCGCGGACAACACTGCTGCAAACAATTTCATAAGCTCAGGGACAGGTGTGGGGGGTGACGCACCAACGACAGATGCGTTGATTGAGACAAGTTAACAACCGGGTAGCCAAAGTTACGATACGATCCATCATGGCAGTGATGTGCTGGGGGGAGCTCGTCAATCTCCCCGTGGTCCATTTTGTCTGGGCTGTCTCTATCGATGACCTTGTTTGTACTCGGAAGTAGCGTGGCCGACACGTTGACAGTTTCAGGTGCGTCGAAAGCCTCGCCCTCTTCTGAGCCCACTAGACGTGTCGCCCAAGCTACTCCGTGTCCATAAGGTCGTCGACAGTTACAACCCGGACGAAATGAGCCGCCGAGAGATTGGCAGGCTCCCCCCAGACATACCACTGCCGTGATGGAAAGCTTGGCTGTACGACAGCCCTACGCATCAACGTGTTGGACGTGTCTTGCTTGCAGACGTGGTATAGGTACGTTAAGCACTTTTGATGGCCCGTGCAGCACGCAAGATGACCGCCCCAAAGCTAAGGGCGCCAGTGGGTGAAGGCCCAGACAACCGCAATGCATGGTAGGGCTGTAGTGGCGTTGACTCCGTCAAAAGCGGTTTGCTGTAAAAAACGCGAAACTAATCTACCTCCTTGGCGTCGGCCCTATCGCGTGACGGTTGAGCGAGGAAAAAGTCCTACGCAGGCGTGGATGTGAGGTTCGCGGGGACCTTTTCCTTCCACGTTTCTGCGTGGACAGCAACGCTGCTGCATACGACTTCGTAAGCTCAGGGAACATGACAGCACCAACAAAGTTTTCACAAACGTTTCGGTCTCTGCTCGGTACCCTCTGAAGTTCGTACCGGTCCAACTGATGCCTGCCGTGGTCACAGACCAACAGCTACCCAATAAAGGTACCCGTCTAAATAGCAAACTTGAAAGGACTCAGAAATACTGACCACGATTAAACATCCGCTGTTGGTACACACCTCTAATAATCGATTTTATTGGACTCAGAAATACTGACCCACGACGAAACCACCCGCCGTTTTTTTATGGTTTTTACGCACGAAACTGGCAGGCCAAGGAGCTCCCTGACAAGGCGAGTGCCTCTTTCGCCGCCGCTATCTTCGAGCTGGGTCTCAAGCACTCATCCCCTAAGGCAAGCGGAACACGCCCCCCCGAAACGTTTGCAAACAGCGGGCTGGGGTTTAGTTTTTTGTCGGCTGCGGTGGTTTGAGTCGCCGGCGCTCGTCGAGAGACGGAGAACTGTTCGAGCTGAAGTGTTCCTTTCAAGCCTCACTCCTGGCGCTCCTTGGTTGGAGAAGGCGTTTTTTTTGCTCGGGGGTTGTATTTTTGGGGTCTCCAGGCCGGGGGGAAGGGGGGGGGGGGGGGAGGGCTCCGTAGCCTTTTCAGTAGCCTTCGCGAGGGTATTTCTGCGGAGAGACCTGAACACTCTTTGTCTGTGTGCCCACCCGTCCTTGCCCCAAGTGATGACGTCCCGTGAAACGGGCGTGTGTGCTGCATGCATCCCAACAGTGTTGCCCTTGTCTTGGAGCTTGAGCTTGGGTGCGCTAACCTTTAATCGTGGGGCGGACCCTACTCCGTCTTGTTGGTGGTGGTGGTGCTGCTGCTACTGCTGCTACTGCCGCTGTGCGATGACGATTTTTTTTCTATCAAAATCAGGTGCTGATGAAGCTCATGCCCCCGAAGGCCAACAGCCTGACGACGGAACACATCAAGAGCCGGCTACAGAAGTACCGCCTCCACGCACACCGATCCAAGGTTCGTTCGTCTTCGCCACTCTATTTAATAGAAAGCATTCCCTTCCTTTCACGTCGTTGTCATCCCATTTATTCTGGATATAATTGGTCTTCACACCGTTCGGAACAATTTCTGGGCGCACCGGCAGCGGGGTCACGCAGGAGGAAAGGCCACACAGGTCTTTTTTTTCTATACTTAGTTCAGGATTTTTTTTTGTTTTTTTCGGTGAACTTCCTTCGGATACCGACAAACCACGGTGCTGAAGACAGCTGGCTGCCCCCTTCACAAGCGGCATGTAGTATACCGAACATCAAATTGTGTACTACCGAAACAGACTGGAACCACCATGCCCTCGACACACGTCCATTTTGAAGTGGGCGGTGGCCTCTTACCAAGGAAGTGGGCCACCGGATGCCCTCGCCATTTCCTTTATTTTCTAGGGTTCGGTCATTGTTGCGTTGTGAGTGCCTCCTGTTGGTCGGGTATCGTCGACGCACGGCCGTGACCCTGGTGAAAAACACAAAAGGCCCAAGAGCGACGGCTATTGCTCTTCTTGGTGGTGCCAGCAGGGCGACTCCGTGTGTGCATGAAGCTTTGGCACAGCCGTACATCCTAACCCAGGGTCTTTGATAGGTGAGCCCTCGCCCCGTTTACGCCGCGTCTTTACGGGCGTTTAAAACTGAGCGTTTTTTCCCATAGTTTTGGATTGTTTCAAGAAAGAGAACTTTGCGAAGTGTGTTCGAAGGCAAATAATAGGATGCAAAATTTTCAATTATTTGGAAGCTACCGTTCCAACTTTCCTGGGCCCTTCCAATTTTTTTGGAAATACTCCTAAACTTTTCGATGAATACCTTCTTTTTTTTTTAAAGTACAAAATTTTGAAAAAAATCAGCCATGTTTCAACGCCCCTTTTACGCCACGTCTTTCATCATCTCTCCCTCGCGCAGGAGGAGTTCCTAGAGTTTTTCGGCCTCCGTCTTGAAGGAAAGTTCGCCGATTTCCTTCGGAAAGAAGGGTGGCGAAGTCTCTCTCCCGCCCACGGGCGGGAAGGTCAGCACGACGGGCCGGAGTACGATAGCGCGGGAGGCGGTGACGGGGGGGAAGGGGGGGGGGGGGAGGACGGGCAGCTGGCGGCTTGGCGGCGGCGGTTGCCGGCTCTGGGTCGTCTGGCGAGCCAGCCCCAGCGGCGGCGGTCAAGATTGATGGGAAAATGGTGAGGGTGGGATGGTGCCGGTTGCTTTGAGATCGCTCTGTCTCTTGCATTATCTGCCTTGATGGATAATGGCGAGGTGGGATGGTGGCGGTTGCTTTGTGGCGGGTCGCTCTCTCTCTCTCTCTCTCTCTCTCTCTCTCTCTCTCCCTCTCTCTCTCTTTCTCTCTCTCTCTCTCTCTCTCTCTCTCTCTCTCTCTCTCTCTCTCTCTCTCTCTCTCTCTCTCTCACACACACACACACACCGACCGCACTGAGACTGACGTCTTTTCATTGGTCAGCCGGTTGGCGCGGTCGATGCTACTATTAAAGACACACACACACACACACACGTACACACCTTGTTTGGCCATTCATTGTGTTCCCGCGAGGAGATGGTATTTCGTGCTTGCGTGTGATGATTCGCGATTGGGAAAGGTCTTCCTAGGATCGTGACAGCAAAGCTTGGTCCAGGAACTGCTATCAGGGCGTAAAGAAGAATTCATGACCCGTTGTGTCTCAAGAAACCATGACCAGCAACCCGCCGCACCCGCTTTCCTAATACTACTGCTGTATAACGATCATCTTCATTTTCCCAGCCGCCCTCTGTCTAGTGGCAAAAAAATATGTCCAGAGAGAGATCGCGAACCCGTCTGTGGAGATGGCGTCCCGGAGTGGGTGACAAGCCACATTTAAGGGATGAGTTCTGGCAAAGAATAACGACACACAACGATGTGGAAACTGCTACACGAAGCAGGCGAAAAGAAGCCCTTGGGTGTGTCTGAGCAACCGGGACATGTCTTTAAAATAATCATCCTCTCTTGTGTGGTTTTGTGTGTTCCCCTTTCGTCAGCCAGCCAACCGCGGCAAACATCGAATGTTTCGCCCCCTCCCCCCCCCCCCCAAAAAAAAACAAAACCCCCCACCAAACACTAAAACAAAAAAAAATAAACAATACAAAAAAAAACAAAAAAA